GAAAAATCACCTTTTGTGGTAAACAAACGAGCGAAATCAGTAAAAATAAATTGATGTGTGTAATATTATTACTGCTTACACCGTTCAGTTATTATGGACAGGTATTTTAAAGGTTTTGTCATTTAAATGTGTGGGTAAGATCATGGTTTCATTAGACTTCAATTATTTGAATGAATTAGCAAATCGCGGGTCCTTGTGATGTCGTTATGCCGGCGCAAAGTATTTCGGTTAATGAACTCACAAAATGATTAATTTTTTATCTATGTATAATTTGCCTAGACGTACCTTAAATTTATGTGCGTAGAAATATATAATATACATACAAGTATATATATATATATATATATATATATATATATATATATCTACATATGTCGGAGAGCGTCACGAAATCATATGACAAGTGGTATAATAAATGATTTTATCACACAAGGTCGAATATAATACAAAGTATATTTTTATTGCGCTTAATACGCACTTACGGTGTATACAGTAGTTTTTTCATATAACGCTCTCTGATATAGCGCGGGTTTTGCCTATTACACAGACCCTTCAGACGCTGCAGGGATAGAAATACATGACAGGATACGACAGTTAAGTGCCGATTTACGGTAAATAAATGGTAATTGATATTTGTGATGTGCAGAAAATATGTTTATTTTTTATAATTTGTTGCTTGTGTAAGAACTAATTTTTAATATAAGTGCCAATTTTAATATAAATTCCAATAAGCCGATAATAATATATTTTGCTCATAGTGTTATTATATAGGTAAAATCAAATTATCAGATATTTTATAGAGATTTTAATAGTAAGTATGCATGTTGTTTACATTTCTATGAGTTCCGTACCAATGTTTATCCCTGAGACTGCTATGCGCTAAGCAGACACGATAGCTTTGAAAAAAAGGTTCAAAATTTTCAGAAAAATTCAAAAATATAAAAGATGCAATGAGGTACAATATTCAAAAAATAATTATCATTTTATTAATTTATCAGTTCTTCTTTGACACTGACGAGAAGAGTTTGAGAGTCCCTTTTTTGAGGTGCAATGAGTCCTATTTAGTATATTTTACCCCAATTCGCGACCTCTAAAACACCTATAATCATTTTCATTCAGCTCATAGAAATCTGAATGCTTTACTATTGCTGAAAATAAAATAAAGTTTAAAGAAAAATATTTTTAATCTTACAGAAATATTTTCAAATGCATAGTTAATTAATTTTAGAATCAAAGGTTGCTCAAATTAAAATAACTTCAGCAATCATATTAAAACAATAATTATCAACATTAAGTTGTTTGGAATTTAAACTAATTGATTAGCAATTTTAGTGATTAGAAAAATTAAATATTTTGAAGTTTGCAAATCTCCGTCTTAGAAATGACACATGAAAATTTCAATGGTTTGATGATTGATGATTTATTTTTATCTGAATTATGCATATTATTAAACAATAACTTAATTAAAATATTTAAGTAATGGACAGCACTAGATTAAGAAATTAATTGATTCCTTATTAACTTCCCGTAGGGTAAGTTATTGTAATGGGCTGAAAATCGGAATTGAAAATTTTTACATTTCTCGATGTTTTGAAGGTTTCTGAACATTTTGGCATACTTCAGAAAAAATGGATGTGTGTGTGTGTGTATGTATGTATGGATACAATTTTTCGTCCACGTTTTCGGGCGTACGGATCAACCGATTTTAATGGTTCAAAAAACATTCGATTCCTATTGACAAGGAGATGTGCTCATTAGTTTTTGGCAAAGGTAGGTCCAGCAGTTACGGAGATAAAAGCAAAGAGTGCAGAAAATAGAAATCGAGTTTTTGAGAGAACGGAGCATCCGATTTGAATGATCTAAAAAACATTCAATTAGTAATGATTGGGAGAAGTGGTTATTAGTTTTTCGCAAAGGCAGGCCCAGCCATTTCGAAAAGCTAATATTTGACTTGTCGTCAACAATTTCTCAAAACGGCTGAACCAATTTCCAAAATTTAAAAGCCTTTTGGTGTAACTCGATGAGGACTCGTGTTTAATAATTTTTAGTTAAGATCGGTTCAGCAGTGTCTTTGTGCTTGAAGTTAAGGTAAACCTAAAATTTGACTTGGTGTCAACGACTTCTCAAAAATGGCTGATGAACCGATTACCAAAATTTTAAAGGCTTTTAGTGCAATTGGAAAAGGTCCCCTGTTTATTAGTTCTTACTTAAGATCGGTCCAGCAGTGTCTTTGTGCTTGAAGTTAAGGTAAAGCTAAAGTTTGACTTGGCGTCAACGATTTCTTAGAAAAGGCTGAACCAATTTCCAAAATTTAAGAGCCTTTTGGTGCGGAAACCCATAGAAATGTAAATAAAATTGATACACATTACTCAAATCTCCATAAAATATCTGATAATTTGATGAGCATATGTCTTGATCATTTTTGACGGCCAGTTGGCATTTTTTTACTTTTTTCATTAGATCTCCGAAACCGCTAAACCTGCCTTCATGATCATTTCTTCATCTTGCCAATACGAGTAAAATGTTTTCTGAATTATTAAAATCGGACGCTCCGTTCTCTTAATAACTGAGTTACCATTTTTGGCACTTTTTGCTCCGTATCTTTGGAATGGCTAGACCTGCCTATGCCAAAAACAATCAGCACGTCTCCTTATCAATACAAATCCAGTGTTTTTTGAATAATTAAAATTGGTTTAACCGTGTTCTCGAAATCGTCGACGAAAATTTGTATCCGCACACACACACATATACGCACACACACACACATACACACATACATCCATTTTTTCTAAGGTATGCCAAAATGTACAGAAGGTTTTAAAACGTAAAGATATATAAAAATTTACATTCTCGATTTTTTTGCGATTACTATAACTTGCCCTACGGGAAGTTAATTATGTATTTAAAGTATATAAGTACGCTTTAGAACTTTAGTCATAATTTAAATTAAAATCTGAATTAAGTTCGATATACGAAAAAAATTGAAAAAAAAGCAATTGCTTTGTCAACACAAGCAGAAAGTTTTTTGAATCATTCAAATCGGATGCATAGTTTTATCAAAAACTGCCATTTTTTGCACATTTAGCTCCGTATCTTCGAAACAGCTAGACCTGCTTTTGCCGAAAACTAATCAGCACGTCTCCTTATCAATACGAATCGAATGTTTTTTGAATAATTGAAATCGGTTTAACCGTGTTCCCGAAATCGTCGACGAACAATTGTATCCGCACACAAACACACATATACACACATACACACACAGGCATACATCCATTTTTTTAAGGTATGCCAAAATGTTCAGAAACATTTGGAACGTAAAGATATGCAAAAATGTTCATCTTCGATTTTTTTGCGATTACTATAACTTACTCTACGGGAAGTTAAAAAAACATATTAATTATATTAAAAAAAATAATTTTAAACTATTTTCAAAAACTTTTAAATTTAAACAATTTTTCCTTCAACTGGCATTTCAAAATAGTGACCCGCATCCAAGTATAAATGTTTCGCACCCCTGCCTTGTCCTGCGCTTGCGCACTTCTCTTTCTCTCCCGATATGCCCACTCCGCAGCCGTTTATCTCCATCTCATTCCCACTCGTACGTTCGCTTATCCCCCTCTCCTTCGGTCGTATTATCCGCGGTATTTTTGCCCGACGCCGAACTCAACTCCATTGCCGTCTAGACTTTCGAAGTGATATTACCGTCGTGGTACTACTACACATCACGTTATAAATATATTTAATTCAATTAAATTATTTAATAAGTAGATAATTAGATAATATTATAAGGATAATTTAGTATTATCCTTTAGGAGAAGGATTATCCGATTTCTTAAGTGTCATCTAGTGATAATTTTTATTTAAAAGTGCTGAAAGTGATTTTTTAAGTAACGAACAGTGTCTTGTTACGTGGAGATACACAGTAAGAGAGACATTAGAGAATTTTGTGTTTGGTATGTATTAAAAGTATTTTTGTATGTATTATGGACTTTCTAACTTTTTTAAAGATGTTTTTATACTTGTATATGTACATGTTAGTACTATTATTGTTATTGTTTATGTCCAAAATCTTCAAAGGTTCTAAAAATTTAACTTGGCATATGTTAGTAAATATTTTTTTTATTACATGAACTTAAATAATAATTTACAATTGGTACTTTTCAATGACAATAATGTGACTAACTTCAGTTTAGTGATTTTTTGACAGATCCTATTTGTGTTCTTGTATATTAAAAGAATTAAAATTTATATTATATATAAATTTATACAAATAAACTTATACAAATAAATTTAGATATTTCTTAAACAGGATTAAATCCTTTGAAGGTTTTTCTAATATTATTGTTGTGATAAATGTGCAAATGCAAATCGTTTGCACTAACGGCTGTTCAAATTTTTGTTTATATAGCTTTGACACAATTTAGTTAGAGAGTTGTTTGAATCATTAATATACATGTAATTTCTTTGATTGAATTCTTTAACATAATATTATGAGAAATGGTTTGACATATATTAAATTAATTAATTTTTTTATTTTACATAAATACTTTTGTAAAAATATGTTAGATGTTTCTTATTTCACCATGACTAATAAATATCATTGAAGTGATTATTACAGTTAAATTAGTTGAGTTATTTGAGTTGTGATTTTATTTTACTGAACATCCTCCCTCTTTTGTTTTTTAAAATAAATTATTCGAGTTTTTATTTATTAAAATTTTCTACGTTTCTGTGATGTACAATGCACCTTCGATTCTTAAAAACAAACAAACAATTTTTTATACATTTATACACTTTTTTATTTTTTTATGTGAGATTCTTCTTCTTTCACTACTTCTGTTAAATTAAATTAGTTAGTTGAATTATTTGAGTCGTGATTTTATTTTACTGAACATGCCCCCTCTTTTGTTTTTTGAAAAAAATATTTATTCGAGTTTTTATTTATTAAAATTTTCTACGTTTTGAGCACATACAATACACCTTCTTCGGAAATTCTTAAATACAAACACAAACACAACATTTTTTGATTCATTTATACACTTTTTTAATTTTTTTTAAGTTGGAGAATTCACTACTTATGTTAAATTAAATTAGTTAGTTGAATAATTTGAGTCGTGATTTTATTTTACTGAGCATGCCCCCTCTTTTGTTTTTTTTTTAAATTATTTGGGCTTTTATTCATTAAAATTTTCTACGTTTCTGTGATATACAATAAACCTTCTTCAGAAACTCTTAAAAACAAGCAAACATTTTTATACATCTATACACTTTTTTAATTTTTTTGTTAAGTGAGAGAATTCACTTTTACTTCTAATTTTTTTTTTATGATAAATTAAAAATGTTTCATAGTAAATCAAAACACTCTCCAAAAATTAAAGTGTACATTCCTTATAAATTATAATTGATATTATTTTAGGTTTTGGATGTTTATTATTGCATGTATTATACAAGACTAAAAGTCTTGTATTTTTCTATCAAAATTTTGTATATCAATTGCAATTTTTTGTACCTGCGTGTCAAATAATATAATATCGTCATAATAAAAAAAAATAATAATGAATTTATGAAATATAGTTTGTAAGAAGAGTGTTATGTTTTTGTTGTTTATTTTTATTTTTTATATTTTACTTTTTTATTATTTTTATTAGCCTTGCTTACTTACTATTAGAGCATTTAGCTATATCTACATCATTTTTTTGCATCTTATACTATCTTTATTATGTTATACACTGTCATTTATTATATCATATACTATCTTCATATATCCTACTTATCTTCTTTATCTTCTATTCTTATTCTTCTTATTCTTCTTATTATTCTTTTTCTTCTTATTCTTCTTATTATTCTTTTTCTTCTTATTATTCTAATTCTTCCTTCATTTCTTGGTCCTTTATTTCTTATTATTCCTATTCTTATTCTTCTTCTTATTCTAACTTCTAATTATATTCTATCTCAAATCAACTATTAAAATTCCACTTAATTTTATCCAACAAATCAACTGACAATTCTATGTCAATGCCAAGGCTCGAACCGAGTATCTCTATCTCTGACTGAGCCACATTTTTGTCATTGTTATTATTGAAAGGAGACTTTTTGTTCAAAAAAATAAAATCCTATATATTATTAGCTATCAAGAAAACTCAAGGAAATTATAGAGCGTTAAATATCATTCAAAACGTTAAAAATAATATAAAATAGATCATTATTTACATTGGAGATAATAGTAGAAATATTAAATTTATTATGATCTATATGAGACAGTCGTGGAGTATTGGTAAAAACATGGTCTGTCGGTTTTTGTTGCGAGTTCGATGCCAACCTCGGTCAGCTCGGTATCAAACAGTATGATTTGCACTTCAGATCATAGAATTCAAACATGGTATATTAGATATATATGTAGTATGATTGCCGTATAAAAGAGAAAGGTTAGTGTAGTTGTTGCACAAAAGAGTAACCGCTGGGTTGCCTTGTAAAATAGTAAATTAGTTCATCAAACAAACGGTATCAAGCAGTATGATCAATTTTCAATTTAGATTGTAGATCTCAAATATAATCTCAAGTGAATATAACCTTTTGGGGGCATTGCTGCAACATAACTATTAGAACTAATATAATCTAACATAATAGACGAAAAAGGGAGAATGGTAAAGCAGTAAATTAAGGTACGATTAAGGTAAAATACGGGTCTAGCTGCGTATAAGTTGGTAGTAACGATCTGTGAAAAAGCTATGTATTTGCTGCGCGATCAAGCGTTTTACACATAAAACCTAACCTCCAAAACGCACAAATGTCAAATAACAATTCAATCATCAGTCCAACTTTCAGATTTTTCTTTGATAACACATTCGTGAAGTTCGATGTAAAACGTCTGATCGCACAGCAAATACATAACTTTTTGGACAGTTTGTTACTACCAACTCATACGAAGATAGACCCGTATTACCATAACCATAATTGGCCTCTTAATCTACTGCTTTACCATTCTCACTTTTTCGTCTATTATGTTAGATGATATTAGATTTAATAGTTATGTTGCAGCAATGCCCCCAGAAGGTTATGTTAGGGGTCTATCTGATCACATGCTGAATCGAAGATTTGACCCTTGAGTCATCAAACAAACGGTTGAGTAGTTGTGAGTAGTTTTGAATTCTGTTGAAAAATACAATTTCTCTATACAAGTTCGTGTAAAAATATTTTACAATATATATCAATTACAACGTTTTAGCATATATGAAATGGTTCTTTACATAAATCATAAACCATAAGTAAATTATTCTAAAACAAATGTTTCTGTGAATATGATTTGCAAATACGATTGTTTCTCTAAAGTATAGTAATTATGTTGGCTTATTCTTCTAAGAAATTTGTAAAACGTTAGGACATACCTGAGCAATGTTCAAAGAATCGACTCGTTTGTTTTTGTATGCTTATGCAGTTATGTTGGATGACATAAATATTAAGTTTAAATATGTTAATTTACCAGATTTCTCGAAAGTGTTTCAATTCGCAGAGTTTTTTTTATACAGTCGTAAGAAATCAGCTTAATTAATATTAATATTCCCAGTTACCCAATATATTCCCAATAACCCAAATTCCCAGTTTTTTATAACTATTAATAAATTACAAAATTGTTATATTTTCAAAATTTTCCTAATTACCATAAAATTTTCTCTAATTATATCTCATTATCTACATATGTTTTCCATGCTTGGCAAATCGTACCTGTATGCATTTTTGCATTCGTTTGGCGGCCGCATTTGTTTTTTGTTTACAGAAAAAACAGATGTACCATGGAATATTTAAATTCATTCCAATATATATTTAATTAATTTAAATTTGATTATTATTGTGCTAATTAGTTTTGATATGTTTTTCTGTTCGAGGCGCCAAGTGTAGGGAACATATCACAGTTGAAGGTGGATATTTCCACGAAGGAAAATGCGACTTAGACGTTGAACGAAATGAAAGCTCTGTTTAATTAAAAATAATTATTTGTTATTATTATTATTTATTTAATTACACACAAGACTGCCAAAAACTCAATTCATATTAATCAAGTGGTTAAAAAGTTTAGAGTAATGTTAGAAATAAATGTAGGTGTAAATGCACGTGCAAAGCGAGCGTGTAAATTATTTTGCTATTTTCAAGACAGATTTTAAAGTATGCCGAGTTGCTCTAGGGCGTTATCATATTAGACAATATTGTAGATAATTTAATTTTGATTAAGTTTGCCGATTCATATTAATCGAGTGGTTTAGCAGTTGCTAGAAATGAGAGAAATAAATGCACTTTGCACTTGGAAATTATTTTGCTGTTTTTAAAGAAGATTTAACAGTATGTAGAGTTTCTTTAGAATATTATAATATTAGACGATATTATAGATAATTTAATTTTAAACAAAATTGCCGTAAACACCATTCACATTAATCGAACGGTTCAAAAGTTAGAAAATAAAAAAAATATAAGAAATAAATGCACGTGTAAATTATTTTACATTACTTCAATTTATTTTTTAAAGGTTATTTTAAAGTATACCGAGTTGCTTTAGGGTTTGTTACTATATTAGACGATATTATAAACAATTTAATTTTGAACAATTTTGTCGAAAACGCCATCCACATTAATCGAATGGTTCAAAAGTTACAAGAAATGTAAAAAAATAAATGCACACATGCACGTGTAAATAAATATTTTTGGTATAATAAGATTTTGAACTATACAGAGTTGCTTTAGGATATTATAATATTAGACGATATTATGGAGAATTTAATTTTGAACAATTTTGCCGAAAACACCATCCATATTAATCGAGTGGTTAAAAAATAACGACAAATGTAACAAATAAATGCACGTAAATTATTTTGTTCTTTTCAAAGGATTCAAAGTATTCTAAGATGATGTATGGCTTATAGTAGAACAATTTGGTTGAAATCACTATCCATATCAATCCATT